TGGCTTGTGTACCATCAAGGACAGGCATTTTCTCTGAGATTGGGCTGCACCTCAGCTCTGCCAACATCTACCCTTTTTGATAGCCGCTCAGGGTAGTTCTAAAGAACATTTTTTTTTTGACTGGGCTGTGCAATGGGATGCCTTTGGCTTCCACTTTTGTAACTTTCTAGTCTCGTTTGAAACGATTTTCTCCATCTGGAATTTTTGGAGTAGCTTTTAACTTTATTCATTTATTTTTTTTTTTCTTTTATGTCCCCTTCTGTATTCGTTGACTTTCTTGCTTGTGGTTAGTTTGTCTGCAGGGTGGCAAATGGCCTCCAGCTTGCTCCCTCTAGTTTGCTCTGTCTTCGGGAGCTGGAAGGCCGGGCTTGTCAGGACCTGTATAAATGGAGACGCAGACAACACCGGGGAGGTGGAAGCTTGAGGCCCCTCTCAGGCTTCTGGCATTTTCTAGGCACACCGTAGCCATGTGTGTTTTGGCCTGCTTGCTGCTGGCTTTGGGGTGTGTCTTTTCCCTATCCTGTGTTTCACTGCCCTGTTTCTCTGCCCTGCAAGAGTGGGCTCAAGTGTTAGGGTTTCTGTGGCTCCTGGAGCTACAGTGGACAAACATAAAGAACAATCTTGGGATAGGAGGACTCCTAGGGTGACAGGTGTGTCTGTGGATCCTGAACAGCTGTGTCTTGTGGGCCAGTCTTACGCCTGACAACCCCAAAGGTAAGAGATGTTGGCCAAAAGTATTCCTATCAGACTGGATTAAGAATTTTTAGCGAAATCTTTTATAATTTTGTTTTATTTGTGTGTATGTTCATGAGTGTGTATATGTACATGTGGGTACCTGCATGTGGACATGTGGACGCCACTAGACAACGCTGGTGTTGTTCCTCCCTAGGTACTATCTATCATTTGTTTTGTTTTGTTTTTAAGACAGTCTCTCAGTGAGCTTGGGGTGCCCTGATTGCCTAGATCAACTGGCAGTGAGCTCCAGGACCCCCTTGTCTCTGCCCTCCCCACTGCTGGAGTTACAGACACATGTTGCCAGGCCCATTGTGGGTGTTGGGGATCTGAACCCAGATCCTCTAGCTCACAGGGCAAGGCAAGCACTGCACTCCACTGACTGCACTGTTATCTCGGCCCCAGGGAAGTCTTTTAACCATCCTGAGAAGGAGACGTAAAATACAGTGGACTCGATGTTCCCGGCATTGTCTCAGAAGCATCCTTCACTTCCTGCTTTGCTTCAGAATTTTTAAAACAATTCTGCCAGATGTAATTCGGCATCTCTGGTAGGACCCTCTGGGCCCCTACCCTTCTCTCCTCTCTCCAGAGGCATCATCCACAGCCCTGAACTTGGTGATATTCATTACTATGTATGTTTTTATTCATAAACATATATTTTTTTAAATCCCTTAATAGTAAGTAGAGTTCTTTTGCATGAGTAACTTTATGGCAACAGTGTAGCACTGTACATACTCTTTAGTTCCTTGCTTTTCTTATTTACTATTCTATTTGTGATATGAAATAAACTCACACCAGTTTATTTACTTTTCCATGCTATACAACAGCTATTGACACTCTATGGCCCACTATTTGCTTTTGTAAATAAAGTTTTATTAGAAGACAACAATGCCCTTTTTTTATGAATTATCGGTATAATAGCCAAGTAAAGACATCACAATATAGATGAAAATCAAATGACTAACAAAACTTCAGTTATGTAACTATGAGTGGTCCTTTACAAGAAAACCTGATTTAGGGTGTAGACTGTTTCATTGTTATAACTCTATTTGATATCTTATTAGTGACAATTTGGGTCAATTCTTTTTTTTTTTCTGATAGTGGCTTCAGCATACATTTTAAAATTTGTTTTAGGGTCTCTTTCGAGCAGGAGATGGAATTACTAGCTATTAATAAAATGATCTCCAAGGTGGGCCCACCAACTGCTTCCCTTTCAGAGTCCAGGAGAGAGCCTCTCCCTCCACATCATCATCAACAACTTTAGGACCTTAGGCCAGTCTGATGCTTCGTTACACATCATCGGCAAGGTTTTACTGACCATTTAGCAGACTCTTTTATGGAAAATGCTTTCTGTGTCCTTTGCCTGTTTTTCTGCCTTGCTGACTTTTGCCTTTTGGTTGTCAAAGTTAGTTCCTTATATATTCTGGCTACTGGTCCTGTTGGTTGAACTCATTAAAATCAACCTGTGTCTTATTTTTCAAACACACACATAGAAGCATATGCAGACCTATAGTGTGCCTGTGCACACAGATAAGTGGTCACACACAAGACGGAGTCTGTTTTTCCTTGGGAAAGTTCAAAAGCCTCTGAGTGTCTCCACTCAGAGGTTGATGTGAGCTTGCCCCACCCTCCTCCTGGACCAGTCAGCCTATCCTTCCAGGCTGTTTGAGTGAATTGATTGGTATTGATGTTTTAACTGCATAGACATGACCTACCAGGGTGTAGAGAAGCTGAAGGCCACTGTGCTGAGATGCTGATGAGCAGAAGGCTGGGTTTGAAGATTTGCCATGGACGAAAACCAAATATGATTTGTGGTTTTGGATTCCCCCATTTGGGTTTTGGCTGTAGTCAGACCATGGTTCCAGCTTGATTAACTTGAGCCATTTTCTGGCCCACAGTGATTGAAATAATTAACTCTTCCATTATCAGGCCGGATGACTGTTGTTTGATTTTACACTAGTCCCTTATCCTTAGAACCCAGATCTCCAGCTTACCCTATCCCCCTAGTTCCTCTGACCTTTCAAATTAGACTTTTCCCCTTGAATGAAAAGGCAAAAACAATCTGTCATGCTTCAGGTTTTTATAAGCATGGAAGCTGACCAAGTCCACAAAGCTATGATGTCTGAGTATTTCAACGAAGCTCGGGAGGAGGGAAGCAGACGGATTCCAACTCACACCCTCCAGTCCAGGACCACGGAGAGGCACCGGGCCTGACTTGGCTTAGACTATGCAGATCCTCAGGGCTGGGCCTGGTGCCCCCTCTGGTTCTGTTCTTGCCACATGCAGTCTAGGTACAGGCTCAGTTTCTTCCTAGAGGTCCATGACAACTCCACATCATCATCATCATCATCATCACCACTGTCCTTCCTTCTCTAGGCCACACACTCTGGGGGTCTAGGACATAGCTAGATGACTCAGCTAGTGAACCACACATAAACAGCCTCACAGAGAATCAGTACATCTCCAGCAGTCTGCCTTATTTCCCTGTCCCTTGCAGGGAAATGAGGACAAGACTCGGCCCAGGACCGTGTTTTCAATCAGTGAGGTGGCTGAGTAGAAATGCCTCTAGGAGCTGTGTGTGGTGACTCACACTTAATCCTAGCACTCTCTGCATCATGTCAGATGTGGACGTTTTCTTGTCAGTCTCTTAAGATGCTGAAATTAATGCTGTAAGCAGGAGGACTGCCGTGATGGGCCTGCTACGGCCACAGTCTTAGAACACTGCTGCTTAGCCTAGAAGAGCAGCACATCTGGGCATGCTCTGCACTCGTCCTTCTCTGTTTAGCCTAGAAGAGCAGCACATCTGGGCATGCTCTGCACTCGTCCTTGTGTACTTTTAACCATTTTAGAGCATTGGGCCACACATTGCAGTTTCCACTGGATCTCATAAGATTATGGAGCTGATCCTCGCTACAGAGAAAGCAGCCAAGGGTTGGGATTAGTTACAGTTTGTTTGTTCGTTTTTAAATAAGGTCTACTATATAGACCCGCTTGCCTTGAACTCACAGAGATCCACCTGCCTCTGGCCCTGGAGTACTAGAATTGAATTGAAGGTGTGAGCCACCACACACAGCAACTAGAAACATTTCTACTCAGCCACATCACTGATTGGAAACAGCCTTGTCCCTATTGTCCTGCATGGAATGGGGAAGCAAGACAAACTACTGTAGAAATACTATTTTCCTGGGGGGATTGCATCCATGCTCTTCACTAGTTTTGTGTCTGCCTCATATTGTGCAGTTGGCATCCCTTTCCTGAAGGGCAGAACCCAGCACTGTGATTTCTTTTAAGGTCCCTGAAAGGGCCTTGAATAGGTCCCCCCAGGGAGGTGCTGCTCGAGAGAGAGTCCCTGCATAAATTCAGGGAGAAATGAAGGCTGTCGCTATGCTAGTAGGCCTGGAAGAATGAAGAGTCTGATCTACAGAGAAGGCATCAGAGGGACTGTGGCAATCGCTCAGTTAGTGAAGTACTTTCCACACGAGCATAGCAACCTAAGCAGATCTGCAGCATCCACTCACTTGTGTGCGTGGTTGCTGATCTGTAATCTTAGCCCTGTGGAGTGGGGATGGGGTAGAGACAGGAAGAACTCCTGAACTTGCTGCCTCACCATCTAGCTAATCCATAAGCTTCAGTTCCAGTGAGAGACCCTGCCTCAAAAATAAGGTGGAGAGCAAGTAAGGAAGACACCTGCTGTTGACCTCAGAACTCTGCTCACATGCACATACACAGAAGCACACACACACATAACAAGGACAGACAGATGCGCGCGCACACACACACACACACACACACACACACACACACTTTTTTAAAGCTAGAAGGAGGGAGAAGATGTAAGAACTGCTCATAGCTCATGAATCTCATCAGCTGGTCCCTTCCTTAGAGGCAGAAGGTCCCCAAGTTGACTGCTGCTTCTGCCTCTGCTGTTCTCCTGTGTCTTCTGTCATCAGCCATCTCCTGTAGACTCCACAAATAAAGTCCATGAGTTCTAAGCTCTGCCTCAGATTCAACATAGGGTTGACTGTTTAGAGGAGGCTTTGACCTCTGGCTGTGTTGGTGTGGTCACAGGACATCATAACAGTGACCTGGAGAGGGGTTTAGAAGGGGACAGAATAAAGCTTATCTTGTCCAGGTCATAGGCTGGCCAGTCTCTGGGATGGGCTATGCATATAACCTGACCCTGCTGCTCCTCTGACTAGAGAAGTCTCCTGGGTCCTCGGGGGGATAAGCTGGGCTCCCTGGTGATCCACTGTGTTCTCTTTCCACAGCAGCAAACCCACTGCTCTGCTCCACAGCCCGCTACCACTGCAGGAATGGCCTGTGCATTGACAAGAGCTTCATCTGTGATGGACAGAATAACTGTCAAGACAACAGTGACGAGGAGAGCTGCGAGAGTTCCCTAGGTAGGTGCTACTCTTCCTGCCACCCCCACCCCCCAAGGCGACTGGACACAGGAGTCAGGCATGGGAGGGAAGAGACAAGCAGCCACATCCTCTTCCTAAGAGCAGCTGTGGTGACTTTTGTACTCGCCGTCATCCTGAGTGTTGCATAGTCTTGATGACATTGTGCCTGCTGTCTTGACTTTGGTATCCTTCATATGCTGATCACTGTATATGTGTTTCTTCTATGGTCGTCCTTGGTTGTATTACATGCCCACTGAATTGCTTTGCTGTGGTTTTCCGTGTTGTAGTGTTGTTGAGAGTCATGTGAGTCATTTCCCTCCATCCCTCTTGAGGATGAATTCTGCAGAATGAGATGCCTGCACCAGTCATGACCACTTTTCTCCACACAGCTGGCTGAAATTTTCTCTTTGGTTTTGCTGCTGTGCCTGTCAGTTCTACCCTGACAGCTCAGTCACATTCACGGCTGCTCTGGTTTTTGCTTTTTTTTTCTTCTCATTTTTGTTAACTTAGTAGTCATGAAGTGATCGCCTCCCCAAACGCTGCCATCCATCTGTGTGTCTGATTGTGAGGAGCACTGGCGCCCCCAGTGCCCCCGGGCATTTGCTCACTGCTTGGTTCCCTCTTGTGTGGATTGTGCGTGCATAGAAACGCTCTTGACTTGGGAGTTTTTGTGGAAACTGAAGGCTGCAGCTGAAAGCTGGGAGAGGAAGGACACTGAAGGATAATGTCCCTCCTTCCTGTCAAGACTCACATTATCTCGTTCAATGAACATGTCCTTTCTTCCTTGCTTGCTTCCTTGCTTCCTTCCTTCCTTTCTTCCTTCCTTCCTTCTTTCTTTCCCTCCCTCCCTCCTTCCCTCCCTACTTTATCCTCCCTTGAGTGCTCATTCATACTCTCTCTCTCTCTCTCTCTCTCTCTCTCTCTCTCTCTCTCTCATACCAAGGCTGTCTTCAGAACTGGCCCTGGTTCTGGGAGTACAGGCATAAGCCACTCACTGTGCCTGGTTTTCCTTGGTGCTGGGGCTGCAACTCTGGTCTTCACGCATGCTAAGCAAATACTCTACCAACTGAACTGCATCCCCAGCTCCCAACATGTGTGTCTTCAACGGTGACAACAAAGTACAAAGCTTTTTAAGTGTGCATCTATTTTAAGATATTCTGAAGAACAAGTGTTTCTAATGTTACAGATTGATTCTATTTTTATGTGATCTCTCCTTCTTTCCATTAATAGTGTCATGTGACTACAATTCACCCAGATTGTTGCTTGTTGGTGGAGCTTATTTGTTTGTCCGTGTTCTCCGGAGTGGTCATGTTTGTAGACATAATAAAACTACAAGATAAGCAAGAGGTTTAACTGCTTGTAATATGTTTGGAGGTGGACATAGGTCGGGGAAAGTTCCTGAAGGACAAATACAGGTTATTTTCAAGGTCCTAGCTTTTTATTTTGGTTGCTGTTTATTATGTCATTATAAGTGCATGAATGAGTGAGCAAATGAGCCATCCTCACATCACCAGTGGGATGTGGACCGAGCAGGAATTAGGACCTCTAAAGTCCGTAGGACTGAGGGCCATAGAGAAGGGAAAACGTGCAGCGTCCGAACAAGCCTTGCCAGCATCTGCAGGAAGGACTCAGTGGGGCGAGTGGTGGGAGAAGTGGAAGGTTCTTCTGTGGAAAGCTTACTGCTTGGGTGTGTTCTTCATCGGTGCTACAGTAAGAATAAGTGAGCAGCCGGCTGCCGCCGCAGCCACTGCCATGTGTGGGCACTCCTGGAATGCAGGCGCCGGGGCCCCACTGCAGAATGACCCAGTCAAGTTGTGTTTTAATACCGTGCTGGGTGGTTCCAGTGCCCGAGTCTGAGAGCAACTGCTCTGTCCTAGCCCCAACCTCAGAGAGAGTTTGAGCTCACCATTTACCTAAGAAATTTTAAATTACTGTGTGTGGCTATCCTTCACAAAGTCAAATTTTTATAAAGGAAAACATATGTGAGGTAGAGCCAGTCTTAAATGCCAATGAGGAGTGGCAATCACAGAGCTGAGTAAATACCCTGAGAGGTGTGGAGGAT